GTGTCAGCGCCCCTCGGGGACCCACGCCTGAGCCCACGCTCCCGTGTCAGCGCCCCTCGGGGACCCACGCCTGAGCCCACGCTCCCGTGTCAGCGCCCCTCGGGGACCCACGCCTGAGCCCACGCTCCCGTGTCAGCGCCCCTCGGGGACCCACGCCTGAGCCCACGCTCCCGTGTCAGCGCCCGAGGTGCTGGCTCCAGGGTGCCCACGGCCGCCTCTCTTCCAGCCGGTCAGGAGGCGCTCACTCCCCCAGGGGAGAGTCAGGCACAGAGCCTGCAGGGGGAAGGCCGGGGGTGGTGAGGGGTGGCCAGGGCTGCAGAAAGTCCATGCGGTCTCTCTTCCAGCCCCCAGGGCTGTGGTCGGAGCAGCGACTCCTGCCCCAGCCAACGCCCGCAGCAGGTAAGGGCAGGGGACACCTGGCAGTTGCTTCTAGTAGGGAGACTGAGGCCCAGGCAGAGGCAGGAGTCCTTCAGGGTCAGACCGGCCTGGGGCGAAGTTGGCCCTGCCTGCTGTGACCTTGAGCCCAGACCAGCGCCCTGACTTCTGAGTCTCCCCCCCCACCCCGTCCACACCAGCAGCCCCCTCCCCCGGGAAGTGGGGTGGCTGGGAGGAAGCACATTAGGTGAGGTCTGCCTCCACCAGGCCCAGAGGCCCCGCCCCAACTCTGGCCTCTCACCTCTGACCCCATCCCAGACTGAGCCCCCCCTTTCACTGAACATCCCCCTCCGCCCAGAGCCTATGGAGTTGCCGGACACGCAGGGGACGTGGATCTCCAGTTCGGGGGACTCGGCGCCTGCCCCCCGGGGCTGGGCGCGGGTGAGCCCCTCCGCGGGGCGGTCCAGCCAGCGTCTGGAGAGCGTCGGCGGCTGCCTGCCAGGTGCGCTCAGCTTAACGTTGCCACCTCGTCGGTGGCTCCCTGTGCTAAAATGTGCAATATAAACTTAAAAATTAATTGCTTCACCTTCTGAAGTGTCTTTAGCCACTCTGGAAAGGAAATATGGCTAATAACCATAATTTTACAGTCAATTCTTGTTAGAAGATTATGTTTGACCAAATGTCTTTTGTTAGCTCATTATTTCACATTTTCTCCACCCTGAAAAAACCTTTTATGTATATTTTGTCCCTGACTTTTAAGATGCTCACAGGAATGTGGATTATGCCTGGGGCTACACGCAGAGGCAGGGGACAGCCCGGTGCACACAGCTCCCGCCTTCCGGGCGAGGGGCAGGGTGACCCCGGGGACTCAGAGCTCTTCAGGCCTGGGAACACTTCTCTTCTTCCCCGGAAAACGGAAAGCGTGCGGGGGAGGAGGGAGTTTCTGCTCTTTCCGCCACTGGGGACTCACTGTCAGCCCGAGGGGACCCTCCTCCTCCAGTCGGGTGCATGACTCTCAGGTGCTCTCTGTGATGACCGAGCCCATCCTCTGGCCGGGAGTGGAGAGTAGAGAGGGGACTTCAGCGCCCAGGCTGTCAGCCTGTCCCCTCCAGGACCCGAGCACCTCTGGGCCTGGCCCGCTCCGCCCATGACTGGGAAACCAGTGAGCGCTCCAGCTGCTGGGCTGGGGGTGAGGGGCCTGGCAGTTCCCCCTGCTGGATGCCAACGCGGGGTCTCAGGGGCTCACAGGGCCCTGGATGCTCAGAGGCTGCTCACAGGCCACGGGGCCCAGACACAGGTGGGGAGAGACCGCGGGGGCTTGGAGACGCTCTAGCACATTTCCCCTCCCCCCCGGCATTGGGCAGAAGCCCCGTCTGTCCCTCAGCCACCGGAGACGGGCCTGAGGGGTCCTCGCCCCCTTCCTGATGGTGGAGAAGCCAAGGCACAGGTGGGGCTCCTAACCTAAGACCCCCAGCCACGACCCTTGCCCCCGCCCTGGGGAGCCACCCTCAGTGTGCCATGTTCACACGTGTGTGTGCACAGTGTTGGGGACACTGCACTCGGGGCCGAGCACCTTCTCTCCCGGAGCCCTGAGGCCACACGGGGCCCGCTCTGCCTCAGTCCCGGGGCCCCTCCGCGTCCCCGGGGTGTCTGCGAAGAAAGCAGAAGGCCCAGGGTCCACCAGCCTGAGAGGTGGGACCCCGCTGCAGGTGGGGGTGGGGGTGCAAGCAGCTCCCAGGGCCCCCCCCCCGAGGCAGGTTGATTTTTATTGCCTCGAGGACAACAAATCACTCTCTGACAATAATCGGAACAAGCAGACACTTAATTATGAGGCCATAGACAGTGTGATTATTAATTTTAAATTGTGCAGCCCAGTCCTAAACGCTGAGCCTGGACAGTCACCGGGCGCTCCTGGTGACCTGGGTGCAGTCAGAGGCTGGGGCTTCCAGGCACCAGGAGGAGGGCCGCCCCCAGGCAGCCCCAAACCTCTCCCTCCAGCCTGGGGAGCCTGGGCTACAGGGGAGCGGTGGCGCTTGGCCTCCAGTCCCCCCAGAGGCTGCCCAGCCAGCATGACCCGGGTGTGGCAGGGGTGAGACCCGGCCAGAGGCTCCCCGTCCTTCCTCCTGCCGTGCACACTTCCTTTCCCGAGGGCCCGGCTCCGCTGAGAGGGTCCTGGGCCTCAGGCACCCCCGGCAGGGGCGGGTGTTGGCGGCCGTGTCGCAGGAAAGAAGGGGACTCGGGGGTTGGCACAAGGCTGACCTCAAGAGGTGGCCTGTCCCCCAAGCCTCGGTGACACGTGCTCCCTCCTAGGGCTTCTCATCTCCTCCCATGCCTCCTGTCTCCCCAGAGCTCTGGGATTGCTCCCACCGCGTCTCCGAGCCTTGGGGGTCCCGATCCTCCGGGTCTGTGGGGCCTCGGGGCTGCGGGGGCTGCTGTGGGGATGAGGCTGGGGGCCGAGTGGGGGCCGCAGCCCCACTGTGAGGCCGCGAGGCCCAGCGCGCAGCGGCAGTGGACAGCCCTCCCCGGCCACCAGCGAGAAGCCGGGTGCCAGGCCGGGCAGCCTGTGCGAGCCGACTGCCAGCCAAGCTGTCGGCTGGTGGCGCTTGGCAGGCGGTGCGGCGGAGCGGGAAGGGGTGTTTGCACACTGCCGCTGACAGCTTCCCAGCCGAACCCGCGCTGGCTAAACAGCAGAAGTGAGCAGTGCCCACGGGCAGATCCCGGCCCGAGGAGGGAGCACGGCGGAAGCGGAGACGCGGAGGGCCCGTCTCCCAAGGCGGGGCTGCTCGGGGAACCTCCCCTCCCACCCGTCCCCCGTCCCCCCCGGCAGCCTGGTCTGGGCCCTGCTGCCTGCCTGGCGTCCAGACCCCTGAGGGTGTCCCCTTCCCACCTCCGCGCACGGTCAGTGCGGCCGCCCTTCGGGCCTCGAACCCCTCCGATGGGGGTGGGCTGTCGTGTGGGGTGAGCCGACCAGCCTCATCGGGGAAGGAACTTAGGGCGCCGCTGTCTCCGGGAGCCCGGTCACACTGCCGCCCGCCTGGCTCCCGCCACCGGGGAGGGCCTGGGTGCCCCGGTCTCCCTGTGGCGGGGGCAGGTCCCCCGTTCCCGCTGGTCTCTCCCGGGCCCCTCCTGCCTCCCCCCCTTGGACTCTCTGGGTCCCTACCCCTAAGAAAGGCAGGCAGGGTGGCTTCCGCCACCATCACCAGAAACCAGATTTCTCACGTGGGCACCACCTCCCCCTTTGCAAACAAGGACACCGAGGCTCAAGAGGCCGTCCTGTCGGGGCCGTCAGGGCGCCCCCGAGCAGTGCCGCGCCCACGCCAGGGCTGGACGGGGACAGACGAAGTCTCGATCTCAATCCCAAATGCAAGTCCTTGTAAAGCCGTGCAGAGAGCCGTTAACGAGAGACACTCTGCCGCTACCTGGGCTGGCCTCTGCCCACCCTTCCCGCCCCAGCGAGATGCTGAGCCTGGGCTGCAGGCTGAGAGGGCGTCCGAGGCAGAAGGGATGGTGGCTTTGGCAGAGGGAATGGAGTGGGCAAAGGTCTTGTGGCAGAGACAGAAGAAGACCAATGGCGCGGGGCGCGCGGGGCCTGAGCAGCGCACAGAGCCGGGGGGTGTGGGCTGCAGGAGCCAGCATGGGGGCAGGGAAGGTTCCCAGATAAAGTACAGAATGCCCCGTTAATTTTAAATTTCAAATAAATAATGATTTATTTATTTATTTATTATTTTTTTTACAAATAGTTTATTGTCAAATTAGTTTCCACATAACACCCAGTGCTCATCCCCACAAGTGCCCGCCTCCATGCCCATCCCCCCTACTCCCCACATCCATCAGTCCTCAGTGTGTTCTCAGCATTCAAGAGTCTCTCACAGTTTGCCTCCCTCCCTCTCCCCCACCATTTCCCCCCTTCTTCTCCCCCTTGTTCCTCCGTCAAGTTCCTCCTAATCCTCCTATACGTGCAAACATGTGATATTTGTCCTTCTCTGCCTATGATCTTTTTAAAAAAATATAAACACGTCCAAGAATTGCATGGGACGGGGCGCCTGGGTGGCTCAGCTGGTTAAACATCCAACTTTGGCTCAGGTCATGACTCACAGTCCGTGGGTTCGAGCCCCGCGTCGGGCTCTGTGCTGACAGCTCAGAGCCTGGAGCCTGTTTCGGATTCTGTGTCTCTCTCTCTCTCTGACCCTCCCCTCCTCGCTCTCTGTCTCCGTCTCTCAAAAATAAAAACATTAAAAAAAAAAAGAATTGCATGGGACATACTTATACTAAAGTATTTGTGCGTGAAATCCAGATTTAATTCGGTGCTATGTGTTCTCATTTGATAAGTGTGGCCACCTAAGCCAGGGACGGCCCATACGTGGGTGCACCTGCCTGGCTGCAGGGCGGGTCCCGCGCCCTGATCTTGCCCCGATAGGTCCTGCTTGGAAGAGCCAAGGGCAGCCGGGACCCGCTCCTGACCTGGCCACTCCTTCGCCGCAGGGTCCTTTCTCGGAGGTGACAAAGGGGCCAGGGGTAGGCGCTGAGCCCGAAGGCCCCTTCACGGCGGAAGCGCGTGGCTGACCTTCGTCCCCCGGGGCCTGGGCGTTGCCGGCCCTCCGCAGACCCAGCGCCCGGCCCTGCCACCAGCTCTCCCTGAAGCAGGCGATAAATGTCCACATTTAGGGCCACAGCGACTGATTATCAAGAGCGTGGCTGCCAGTTACAGCACGTGCAGGAAGGCGCCTTCCTCCTTCCGACCTGCTGAGGTCGGGAGCCCGGCTTCCAGGCTGGAGACCCAGGACCTCGCCGCCTGTCGGGGGGCAAAGGGTCCAGATTTACTGCAGCCGCAAGAGATCATCAGGCACTCAGCAGCTCCCAGACCCCGGTTCCAGGGGACGTGGGGGCTCACAGGGGGCTCACCCCTCCCCCACCTCCTCCGCCCACACCGGGTGGGCAGGAGAGCCCAGCCTGGGATCGCACCCCCCCACCGCCCCCACCCAGCGCAGCTCAGGGGCTCCCCTCCCCACTGCGGCTCCCTGGGCACCCCGCCCTCCTGGCCACACCGAATCTCTCTCGAAGCCTCAATTTCCTTTCCTGCAAAATGAACAAAGAGTAGCTTCTGGAGGATTCCGTGACACCCCCCAGGCCAGCCTGAGGACGGCACCTGGCCTGGAGCCCCGTTGGCTCTTGGGGGACAGAGCCCTGGCGTCAAGGGTCCCAGGCAGGGCAGGTGTCCAGGGCAGGCCGGGATGGGGGGGGCAGCCCCACTCCACACGTGCACTCAGGCGCAAGCCGCACGGCTGATGCCGTAAGTGATCGCACCCTCAATAATCAAAGAATAATCAATGGGTCTTTAATTTCCATACAATAACTGTCTTATTAAATCTAAATTTAATGTGCTTCTGGAATCCTTAATTTAAAGTGTTACTGCACCCACCATCTGCTCCACCAAATACAAATTCAGGGAGCACGTGACTCCGAGCAGCGCGGAGACGAGGCGCCGGCTTCGCAGCTGAGGCTCCGGGGCCCGACCTCCTCCCCGCGGGCCTCCCGGGGTCTCTCCGGGGAGCGCGGCCCCAGAGCCCGCCAGGGAATCCGCCTGCAGACAGGGGCGTCCTGGGCCTGGCATTCGAGGCTGCAGGAACTCCCCTCCCTCCCGGGCGGGGTCCTGCCCTGATGTCCGTCAGCGCCCACCCTGGGCCACGGCCAGCGCCAGAGTGCCCACGGACGCTCCTGGACACGTGCCAGGATCGGGGCCCACCGCCCCAGCAGGTGACCCTCACGACACCCCCGCCCTGGACACTGGACTCGAGAATCGGCTGGCTCCTCCTCCACGTGCTGGGTGGCAGGCGCCACTCGCAGGAAACGGGACACAGGCCGGGGGATGGGAGCCTGGAGGGGTTGGCTGGCCTTGGGGGGTGGAGAGGCTTCAGGTGACAGCTTGGGGACATCGGGACGGCGAGTCTACGGTCTCTTTGGTCGCTTCCCCTTGGCCTGCTGGATGGCTGCCTTACCCTCCGCCTCTCCAGCCCTGTCCCCTCCCCTCCCTTCCCCAGGTTTCTGGAAGAAGTGGCCCTCAGATGCCTGTCTTGACCCAGGTCACCCCAGGTCTCGAGGGGTCGGGGAGCTCGTTCGGGGACCGGAGTGCCCGAGCCGGCTCTGTGCTGCACGGGGCCTCCCTCCTGCTCCACCCGGGGCTCGCAGCGCCCCTCGCCCCTGCTGTCCGCCCTGCGCGGGCCAGGCTTCGCCCCCACGCCGCCTGCTTGAGCCGAGCCAGTCACCGCTGGCGGGGGCAGACCTCCCGCCCCAGGCCTCACGGCGCAGACACGGGCTTCACCGGCGCAGAACCGCCCCCACGGCTGCCGGCCCGCCCCCCCCCACACCTGTCTGCTCGCCGCGCTCCGACCCCCAGCACAAGCCCTTATTCGGGACAGTGTCGGGCGGAGGGTGACGCCTGGCCTGACTCAGCTCCACCGCCCACTGGCCTGAGGAGCTATCTTTTAAATTGTGGCAAAACAGGAGTGGACCTGCGGGGCTTAGTCAGCTAAGCGTCCGGCTCCTGATCGAGGCTCGGGTCGTGATCTCACGGTTCGCGGATCTGAGCCCCGCGTCAGGCTCTGTACTGACTGCTCAGAGCCTGGAGCTGCTTCCGATTCCATCTCTCCCTCTCTCTCTCTCTCTCTGGCCCTCCCCTGCTCTTGCTCTCACTCTCTCTCTCAAAAATATATTAAAAAATTTAAAAATAGGGGCACCTGGGTGGCTCAGTTGGTTAAGCGTCCGACTTTGGCTCAGGTCATGGTCTCCCGGTTCGTGGGTTCAAGCCCCGCGTCGGGCTCTGTGCTGACAGCTCAGCGCCTGGAGCTGCTTCAGCTCCTGTGTCTCCCTCTCCCTCTTACTCTCCCCTGCTCACGCTGTCTCTCTCTCTCAGAAATAAATAAAACATTAATTTTTTTAAATTTAAAAATAAATAAATAAAATTTAAAAATTGTGGCAAAATACAGCAGAGATAAAATTCACAACTAACCGTTATAAACTGCACAGTTCAGTGGCATGAAGTACGTCCCTAAAACAGCAGCCTTCACTGCCCTCCGGTTTCAGAACGTTCCCCCTGAAAGGAGACCGTGTGCCCATTGAGCAGCCGGGACCCCGGCCCCTGGCGCCAACGATCTGCTTTCTGTCTGTGGAGCTGCCTGTTCTGGACATTGCACATGGAATCCCACGTGTCCTCTGGTGTCTGGCTTCCCTCACTCGGGACCACGTTTTCAAGGTCCATCCACGTTGCCACAGGAGTCCCTCCCTTCCCCTGGTGGAGTGACATCCTGTTGCCCGGTGGCCCTGCTCACTCACCTCGTGGTCTCTCCCTCTGGCCGCTGTGAACAGCGCATCTGGAACGTGCGAGGGCAGGTTTTGGTGCCGACCTCGGTCTTCAGTTGTCTGGGGCGCGTGCCGGGGACAGTCTCAGCGGGGTCCCGTGGAAGGTCCTTGTCCGGCGTTTTGAGAACCGCAGCACAGCCAGGGGCAGAGACGTGTGAGGCGGCGTCCGCAGCGTTGGCTGATCCCGCCCTTCGGTGGGCGCCGTCACTGCCATCTCCGGAAGGTGAGGAGGAGCGGCCAGGGTGGTGCTGGGCACGTGGGTCCCGTCGTGGCAGCCACAGTGACTGCGCACCTGCTATGCACCAGCCACTTTGTTGGGTGCACTCAGTCGGTGCTCTATAAATACAAATAGAGAGGGGATTTCCAATTTCCATGCCACCTGGGCAAGGCAGACACTGTTTTCTCTAGTTCACAAAATCTCACACAGGTTAAGTGACTTCGAAAGTCCCCCAGCCAGAGGATGGAGCTGGGACCCTGTCACAAGCCCATGTGGCTCCGGAGAGCAGGGCCGCCGTGTACATGCGTGCAGGCTGCTCACTGCACAAGGGTGTTTGGATGAGGGGATGCAAGGGGCTGCCCAGGTCCCACTCTGTCCACACACATCATGTGCCGGGCACCTCGTTGTGACCAGCACGGAGGTGCTGGGCGTCTGGTGAAGGCTGGGTGGTGTGCCACGCAGTGCCAGCTCACCCAGGGAGCTGTGGGGCTGCCCTCCGCTGTGTGTGGGAGCAAGAACACAGCGTGCCTCTGATGCAGGAATGGGGAGGCGGCCAGAGGCGGGCCTGCCTGTCCGCTCAGGGCCTGCACGTGCCTGGACCCAGAGCAGCGGCCCAGGCCACCTCTGCTGGAGGGATCCCCAGAAGAAGGCAGCTCAGAGAGGCACCAGCCTCCGTGCAGGTGTGAAGGCTGAGGGTCAGAGCCTTCACACTCCTGCTTTCGGCAGAGGAGGACGAGGGGGCGCCGCTTGACCATGTTTCTGAAGCGTGTGCTGCACGCCTGTCGGACATCGGCAGAACAGACCTACGGTTCTACTTACGGAGGACGAGACCGAGGTTCAGAGCGGCCAGGACGAAGCTCCGCTCGGCCCCCCTCGTCTCTCAGGCTCTGGCTGCTGGACCCAGCTTTCCCCGGATCCCCGGCACAGGATCACCCGCTGACATCCTCCAGGCGTCTCAGTCTATGCAGCTGGGGAGCCGGAGCAGACCCCGCGTGGCCGGTGCTCGCTGCACACTCACTCTCCATCGCGCACCAGTGTGGACTCTAAGCACGGCCCCTTCGAGGCCCCAAACGCGTCCAGCAGCAGCCGCCTGATCCCATTTGATGGAGGAGAGAGCTGAGGCGCAGGGGAGCCAAGCACACGGCAAGGCTGAGGAGGGAGCCCTCTGTACCCCGCGTCCGCCGAGAGCCTGGGGTGGGGGGCACCCCCAGCCACAGCCCCTCCCGAGGGGGCCCCTCCACACCGGCGCGTCCTCAGAAACTTGCCTGCTTGTGAGCTGCCTTCCGCCTGGATCACAGCCCGGGTCCTCGAGGTAATCGACTGCTCGATGATCAAACTGATTTCCATCCCAAGTCCCGCGCGCTGCTTACATTCCAGGAATCGTATTTTGAGCACAGACATATAATCAAACGGCAAAAAGCAGAGGGCACAGAGGGCCTCTCTGCCAATCGAATAAAAGCTAAATGGCCCGGGCTTTTAGGCCTAATCACTTACGTATTCCCACCAGGGCTGGGTCTCCAGCAAAGCCCATCCGATCGAGGCCAGATTCATCCGAGCATTTTGGCGTCAGGTCTGACTATCCCTCCCAGCCTTGCCGGGCTCCCCTCTCTGCTGGGGTGGCCTGACGGGTCCCTTCCAACCAAAGTCCAGCTCCCCCTCCGGGAGGGGCTCGACGCCCAGTGCTGGGCAGTGCACCCTCCTCCTGGCAGGTCCCCTGGGCCTGGGTGGCCAAGAACCCCTGGAGTCGAGCCCAGGGCACCCGCCCTCCAGCCCAGGCTGCCCCTGGGTCCATGCGGAGCCCCGGCCTGGGGGGGCTCTCAAGGGGCGCGTGGGGTCCTGAGGTCCAGCGGCTGCCCAGGGCCTGTGTGCAGACACAGACCCCAGGAGCCCCTGCAGCCGGTCTCTGAGCCCAGAGGGATCCTTTTCGGCCCCGCAGGGCCCCCAGGCAGTGAGTCCAGCTTCGCCCTCCTCCCCTGCTCCCCTCCCCTGCTCCCCACCCCCGCCTCCCCGCCTCACTGCCTTGCCCGGTGTCCCCAGAGAGCCGGGCCTTCCTTCTCAACCCACTTTGTGGGCAAAGGGAAAGAAGCAGCCAAGCCCAAGCCCAGAGCCCCTTCCCGAGTGTGGGAGGCTGTCGTGGCCCAGAGGCCACCCCGCCACCCCCGCCCCAAGCTCCCCACGTGCCCCCACTGCCATATGACCGCGGTCCCCCATCTGTGTGGGGCGGGGGACCTGCAGGAAGCGAAAGCTGGGAGCGCCGCCCCCTCCACAGCCCATCCGCCCTCGGGACTGGGCGCGGCAGAAGGGGGGCAGCGGCTCTGCGGGTCCCGTGGGGGCGGGGCTTGCGCCATGGCCACGCCCCCGTGCTGGCCTCAGGCTCTGCGGGCAACAGAGGGTGGGGGTGTGGCCGTGGGCGCCGGCCTCTCCACGAGCCACTGGGGAGCCTCGTGGGTGGGGGCTCCTGGATATGATGGGGAGCCCTGGGGCTGAGTGCAGGGGCCCCGCCAGAGGGAGCTCTCAGGGCTCCTGCGGCCGACACAGTGTCCCCCTCAAAGCATCACCCCAGACCGTAATTACTCCCTGTGGCCCTGGCTGAAGCTGCGAGAACTCCAATCCCAGGAGCTGCAGGCAGAATAGGGCGGAAGCTGTGTGGGTCACAGGTGAGACAGAGGTGGCCCGGGCACGGCCGGGGGCCAGCGCACCCTACGCAGGAGTCTTGGTCCGGCCTCTACAACGGCGCTCCGGACTGACGGGCTCCCTTCCCTGCTTCCGGGGGCGGTGGGGCTGTGCTCAGGCCCGAAAGCCCGAGGGCGCCTGTCTCCACACAGACCCCGAGGGGTCCGCTCAACGCGCTCACTCTCGACACGCGTGGGGTGCTCCCCCCTTTTGGCCTTCCTGCCTTCTCTCCGGGGACCCTGCCTGGGGAAAGCCCCCACCGGCCTGACTGGAGCCCTCGGGGTGACGCTGAGCCGGGCTGCCTGCCCCTCCCCTGCTCTGCCAGCCCCAGGGGCCGCCCAGGCAGGTGACTTCAGCTCTGGGCCCCTCGACCCCCCACCCCGCCCACGTGTCCCCAGCGGAGCCGCCCCTGAGCTCCTCCCTTCCTCAAAGAGCTCCTGGCGGCGCGGCAGGACAGGCCGGGGCCCCATTCTTCCCCTCGCAGAGCAGGGCTGAGGGCCCCGCTCCAGGTGCGCGTGAGGCCCGGGCAGTCCAGGTGCATCTACCCTGCCGTCCTGGCGATGCCACCCTCAGGGCAGGGTCAGTGAGGTCACGCCTAGCAGGGGCTCGATTCCGATCCTGCCTCTGGCACCCTCTGGCTGTGACCGGGAGACCGCTTCAACACCTCTGAGCCTCAGTTTCCCTTTCCGAAAAATGGGGCTATGATGAGATCACCTCACAGGGTTGTGCGGGGCTTCAGCGAGGTCCTGCATGAACACGGGACCTGCAGAGGTCAGCAGGGTCAAGCTCAACCCCCCACCCCCAGGAGGCCCGAGGCAAGGTGCGATCTCCCTCTTGGGTAGCAGGTGCGCCCCTCCCCCACCCCAGCCCCCTCAGGTCCCCACCGGGATCCTCCATCTGCATAAGCTGGGATTTTGTGGGTTTCATTCCTAGTGAAATTCCCCACGCAGCCGAGGCAGTTCCCCACCAGAGGCCTGAGCCTTCAGGCAGGTGGTGGGAGGCCCCAGAGACCCTGCGGTCTGGAGGCCGAAGCCGAGGTCCGGAGGCCAGCACGTGTGTGTCCATCTCATGGCTCAGGGTGTCCATCTTGAGGCCAGGCCTGAAACCACCGGCTCACATGCAGGCCAGGGTGGAGGGGTCCCTGCGGGGTGGAGGGCCGGCGGCGGGGGGGGGGGCGGCTGATGGGTGGATTGCACAGGTGAGCAAGCAGGGAGGCGTTGCGGGGTCCACTGGGCGCTAACTCCCTCAGGGCAGGAAATGCTCCCCCAGCCCCAAGCTGTTTCTGGGCCTCCAGGGCCTAGAGGAAGGCGGGGGCTCCGGAAACAGCTCAGGATGGAGACCCAGACCATGGGGGGCTACGGGGGCCAAGTGTCTTACCCCCTGCCTCACCGGCTGTGCCTGGGGGACTGCCCAGGGGCCAGCCACTAGGGGTGACCTTCCTGCCCTCCCTCCCCAGTGCAGCCCCCCTGCTGGGGGCCGGGGCTTCTTCCTGGAGGGTGACCTGCCCCCTGCCCCACTCCAGGACCAGGGCTGGCCAGGGCCTGAGCAGGGCGAAGGCCACAGAGCTGGATGCCGCGAGGGCTGGCTTGTTTGGGTGCCAGCGTGGGGCACCCTGGAGCCCCCAGCGCCAGGCAGAGCCGCCTCTGAGCTAAGTGCTCAGCGCTGCTGGGGAAGCCCTTTTCCAGAACCCTCTCCAACGTGGGGGCGCCAGAGGGACAGGCGTGGCTGGCTCCTGGCTGGGGATGCAGCCAGAGTCCTGCACCAGTGGGTCCCCAGGCAAGAGGGGACTGAGGCAGCACCGGGCAGCCCCAAGCTGTGCACAAGGGCTCTGTCCCAGCCTGGCTGCGATGGGCGGCCCTGGAGAAACAGGCTGCCTTTCCTGGAAATCAGGGCCTCCACACCCCTCCCCCCGCGGCAATGGCATCCATGTCCCAGCTCCGCTGTCTGTCTGGAGCAGTCAGTCATGGGTCCCGGGGGGCTGGGACCAGCTTCTGCTCAGCAAGACCTGCCTCCCCAGTGTGTGTTGGGGGGGGCGGACGACACCCCTGTTGCCGTCGCTGCCTGAGCCACAAGCTGCTGCTCAGACTCCTGCCCCTGCCCCCTCCCCCCGGGCTCCTAGCCACAAACCTGCTGCACCCCTGGCCCACCCAGAACAATCTCCCTCAAACGATGGGGACCCTGGAGCTGGGTCACGAGGAAGGACAGACCTGGAGATCCCCGCCCGCCCCTGCTCTTTCGGCTGCATTTCCACGGAGGCCGCCTGATGCATGCCCGCCCCCTCCTTAGCAGGCTCCTGGGACCCCTCCCAGCCCCCGGCCCTCAGCCCTGGCTGCAGACCCCCAAGGGGGATGGCTTGTGCCCTGCCCTGTTGACCCTGTCACCAAATTTACCTCCTGCTCGTCCCCTGTATGCCTCGACAACGTGGGTGTCTTCAGGGGGCCGAAATACCAGAGCTGGGTGCTCCTAAGCACCCTGTCCTTCCTCACGGCCGCACCCTCCCTTCCCACTCCAGGGCCCTAACGTGCTGCCCGCCTGCCCGCCGTTCTCCTTCCCTTCCCGATAGAGATCTTCGGTGGCGCCTGGACAAGCGTCTGTGTCCACTCCCGGGTAGACCCTCCCACGTGGCCCTTCTGGGGCCACCTGACGGAGCGGACATAACGCAGAGCTGTGACCGACGCGCCCCCAGCCTCCGCGGCAACAGCAGACGGCCTGGGTCATTGCCAGCGTGGCACGGGGTGATGGTGCAGGGCCTCAGCCTCCCCCTCCAGGGAGGGGCGGTGCCCGGCCAATGGGGGCTGTGAGGCACACGCCACTCAGGCTTATCGAGCTGGCATGAAGGTGGCCAGCGTGGCCCCTGCGCGGGCCATCCCTCCTCCCTGCTCACCCCCTGCACTGGCCCGGCCCTCACGATGGCCTCCGCACAGCCAGACCCGAGGCCCTTCCTCCACGGGCTCGGGACCACCCCATCCGTCCCGCGGCTAGACTCTGTGCGCACAAAGGGCTCCAGGGCAGAGGCTCGGTCCTGCTGACTTTGCACCCTCCTCCCAGATCAGGACAAAGGGGTGGGAGGCGGGGCTGAGGTTCTGATGCCTCAGCCAGTTTCTATGGAGGCTGCAAGGGCAGGGAGGCCCTGAAGGACGGGGCCCCAGCGGACAGAGCGCAGGCTGCCGGGTGCCGGCTCCCCCTCCTCCTGAAGCACTGGGGCATGCTGGGCCAGGCGGCTCCCCGTGCCACAGCGCCCCCCAGAACTGGGCTCCAAGCCAGGACGCTCCTCACACCCCCAGACCGCCTGTATGGGGCATCTGGAGGCCTGCGGGGGGGCTTCGGGGAGGGGGCTGCGAGGGGGCACCTCCTGGGTGCGTGTCCTGTGGCCCAGAAGAGGCGTGTCTGCAGCAGCCCGAGGAGGTGACCGAGGAATCCCTCATGTCCGGCAGCCGTGAGGCCTCGGCAGGGACAGCTCTGAAAACAAGATCCGAAGTGACACCCTGTCCCAGTGCCCAGAGCTGGGCTTGGCAGTGGGGTGGGGACAGGCGTACCCGGGTCCCCAGCCCCGCCTGTGCCAGGCCCCTCGGGCACTGCAGGGGAAACAGTGTGGGGTGCCGGCCTCAAGCCGGCGTACCCACCGATGCAGGGGTCCCCAGGGTGGAGCGGCCGTTTGAAAACCACGTGCACCCATTTTAGGCTCGGTGTCTGTTCAGTGCTGGCCATGGCTCCAGGGCCCCTGGGGACCTCGATAAACAAGTGAGCAAACATCCATGGCTTAGCTCAGGCGGAGGCCGGGGGTGCGGACGAGGCGATGGGAGCCTGCCACGCGGGTGTCTGGGCGGGAAGCCGGTGCGAGGGGCCTGATCCAGGCCTCAGGGACTCACTGTCCCGGGCCCTGGCTTCACGGCGAGCTCACAGCAGGCAAAGGGGGCCAAGAGCTGCTGGGCCTGAGTCAGAACCCTGGTCCAAGCTGGCCTGAGCGGGACAGTGCTGGAGATGGTCAGGGGACAGGAGTGTCCCCTGCCTGACACCAAGGGCTCCCAGTCCAGGGGGGGACCCGCTGTCCATTTGCACTTCCCGCTCTGTCCACCTGGGGGCAAGCCTGGCCCAGGAGGAGGTGCCTGGGAACAGATGGTGGCAGCCGCACACCTGGCGGGGGGCAGACAGGTGGGCCAGGTGAGGCGGCTTCCCCAGCGGGCAGACGACAAGAAAAGCCGCCCCTCCCAGGTCAGCCCGGGGCCCTCCCGCAAGCATGAGACCCCTGGTGGCCGGCGGGCACCCAGCCTGGGGATCCTGGGTCCCCAGGGGGTCCCGAGTCACTGGGTCACCCTGCCCGATGGCCTGCCCTCCCCTGCGCGGCTCAGCGTCTCCCCAGTCACTGATCAAGCAAGGTGCGGGCAGCTGGGTTTGAACTGACTTTATTATTCCGTAAATGTGAATTTTACAAAGCGCTTTACAAGTAACGGTCACATCCTTCTGTTTGTAACGGATTTCCACCTCGCGAGTCGGCTCTGAGCGCGACAGAAGCCCTCGGTTTCCTGGTCGCCGGCGGACGTAGGGTGGAGTAGGGTGGAGTCACCAGCGCAGCGTCAGCCGCGGCTGGAAAAGCAAGTCTTGACCCTGCGCGTGGCAGCGGGAAGGAGAGGGACGCACCTGCTGGGCCGACACGGAGCTCGGGGCTCCGGACACAAACCTCCTCCTCCTCCGCGGCGCGGCGGCCGCTTCTTGTTCGTTAACAGTGTGAGTTACGGCCCCGCCCGCCCCCAGCAGGCTGCACACGACAGTCCCCTTCATCAAAAGGCTCTTTCTCCCACACATCCCGTTCAAAGCAAGAATGGTCTGTTTGCCCCAGTGCCATCCAAACGTTCAAGTCAAAAATATTTATACATTTTATACTTAGTTCTTTTTTTTTTTGTCTGCTAAAAATAGTATTGCAAGTTTTGGCTTCTTTTGACATAAAAATTACAATCATGTGCAAAACGCTAACAATGAAGGGGTTGATCTGAATTCAAGCAGGTTGTCCAATCCGAACACTCTAAATTCTGCATGATTTTCCTTTTCATTTTTTTTTCCTCAAAGAAACAAAACAAACAAACGGAACCCAGAACCTGTGCCATGTTAGAAACATCTTGTACCAAGCCCTAACGACCTCCGGCCGGCGGCGGGTGGCGCGGACTTGGAGCTGGCTGGCTGACATAATGACAAATTTATGCATCAGCAACACTCTGGAACAGTAGTTAAAGCTCAAGGCAGCTATGAACTCTCAATTCCGCGTTTAGGATTTACTGCTGGCAGAGGCGGGCACGTTTCCTCGCGGTTTTCGGTTGGCTAATGGGCCACAGGCCTCTTTCCGCGGGTGTCACGACGGTTCCATAAAAATAACCCGTCCTGAGGGGGGTCTAAGCAGTAAACGGCTGGGGGTGGTGCCGGGCCGGTGCTAGAAAGTTCCACCATTAAATGGGAATAGGTCCGGGCCGGGCACACCAGAGTCCCCACAGATGCTCTGGCCGGCCACCCCGCCGCGCCCCTCCCCCTCTGCCTTCCTCCCGGCTCCAAACACAAACGCCCGGGAGCGAGCAAGCTCCCTCGCTCCCACGGGGAAGTGAGCCCCGCGGTCAGCCAGCAGCAGGGCAGCCAGGACAGGGAATGCACGCCGCACCTGGGAAGGCATCTCCCCCCGCCTCTAACCCACGGCCACGGCCACATTCAGGGGCAAGGTAAGACAATCGAATCAAACGCAGTTAAGCAACCACAGAGAACTCTGGGTGAGCCCAGACACAGTGCAGCAAACAAGACAGAATTCAAGTACTGAGGCGCCCCGGCCAGGCCGGAGGGGCCCCGCCAGCTCACAGTATCTGTCGCATCTACCCGTCCCTTCTCCTGGACCTTGTGCACTCCGTCCCAGCTGCCTCCCGTGGCACAGCCTGTCCGCCGGGGAGGGCGGGCGCCCAGCCGGCTCCCGCCACGTCCGTCCGGCGGGGTCCAGTCCCTTCTCTCCTCCTCAAAAAGGCGCGGGTCTAACTTAGCTCTATAACAGACTCTACATAGTGTATGCGTATTGCTAATAGTCAAGCTGGGGAGCAAAGGTGCAGAAACGTCATAAATACTGAGTGGCTTGTCTCTCGGTCTATAGGGTCTGGGTGAGTCAGGGTCACGCTCACGGGACAGGAATTAGTCGTCTTGTAAACAGAGGAGGGGGAGGGTCCGGTTTTCTTAATTGGTTTTCCTTGGGAAAAATGATCAGAAGATGCTAAGGCACTCTGGAAGGCCCCTCCGAGCCCAGGCCCGCCGCTGCCCGCCCCGCGGAACATTCAGGACGCAGAGGGAGCGCCCCGGCAGATACAATCGTCAGCCATGCCCGACCGCAAACGCTCCGGACCCACATCCACCGCGGGACACACTAGTGCAAAACGCTCGGCCCGGCCCGCCCGGGGCACGGGGGAAGCTCGGAACCCATTCACATTGAAGTTCCACCTACAGCTCTCTGCCTTCCTACCCAGAACAACAAAACAGACGGCGGCTATAAACAGTGAAGGGACAGACGTCGCCGGACATTGTGCTGGCCTGAGTGGCGGTCAGGCCTTCTCTGTGTGGGCACCACTGCCCCCGCCGGGCCAGCACGCCCCTGCGTCACCTGGCCTCGGGTCGGGCCCGCTCCCACTCTGCACTGGAGAGAGGGAGAGCGAGTGAGCCCTTCTGCCCACGGCCAGGGCAGGCCCGCAGCCTCCCCAGGGTCCTCAGGGATGGGCAAATTAAAGTGCACGTTGGGGTCAGGAAGGGGAGCCGCAGGAGGGAATGGGGGTCAACCTTACCATCCTCACCTCCACCCCCCAGGGGCCGCCTGAGGATGCTGGGGGGTGGCCTTCGCACAGTCCCAGGCTGGCTAGGTCCTGAGTGGCCCACATCAGGGGGAGGAGGAGGCAGAGAAGAGGCTCACCTCTGGGCCAGGTGGTGGGTTCCGAGCCCCAGCTGGAGCCGCAGCCCTATTTGGGCACACACCTCCCTGCACTGGAACGCAGGGGCTGAGATCAGCTCCCTCCCCCGTGCCTGCCCAGGACCCCCCAACCCCTTTTCTGGGAGGCATCAGATTTTGGAGGGGGGGCCGGCACATGTCTGGCCCGGCTGCAGGAGGCCTGGAGATGCAGTCCAGGAAGGAGCCCTCCCCCAAGGCCTCTGCAGGCAGGGCCTCTGCGCCCCCTGCAGGCAGCCCGGGCGGTGGTGAGCCACCCCTGCACCTGCATGCGCGCGCTGCAGCCAGTCGGGGGAGGGGAGAAGGCTGGCGATGGCGAGGAGTCCAACAGACCCCTCCAGGCCTGGAAATGGAGGGCTGTCCCGGGTCTGGCCTACGGGCTGCCTGCGGCGCAGAAGGAAGCCTCTGGACGAAGTGGCCGCCCGAGTGCTCCACAGAGCCTGCGGCCCTCACTCAACACATCACAGCAACTGCACTTCAAACTGAGCCTTCCAGCAACTTCCAGGGGCCTTTCCCGGGTGCGCCCTGCCATGCATTCCGGACTCCGCCCTGCGGCTCCCGGGCTCCTCCCGCGAAGTGCCCGCTACCCACAGCCGCAGGGGCACGGGCCGTGGTGGGCAGCACAAGGCGGGGCCCCGCTCCAGCCCGGCCGGGCTGCATCTCCCTGCGGCGCCCCTGCCCTGCACAGGAGTGGGGCCCAGGCCGGGGCTGGGCGGGACCCGGAACACAGATGACCCAGCCCCGGGCCACAGTGGGTCCTCCCTAATTTTTTGCTCTTTTGGGTCTGAAAATTTTCAAACCATACATGAAATAGATCTGAATTAAGACAAAAACAAATAAACAGACAAACAAAATCCCAACGTGGCTGAGGGCTGTGGGGTGGCACCAGGGCCGTCGCCGCGCCCCACAGGACGGCAGGTGGCCGGGCGGGAGCCCGTGGGCGCTCAGGGCAGCTGGCCCGGCCCGTGGGGCCCTGGTGCACCAAGGGCCGCGGAGCTACGGGGCCAGGGGTGCCCACGGGCGCAAGGAGGGAGGGCAGAGGTGCAGGAACCGCCCCGCCCCCTTGAGCGGCCTATCCCGCTGCCCCCACACACTCTCAAACACACGCGCACACACGCTCTCACGCGCTCCCACACCCCACGCACACGGTGGACCCGGCGGGCCTGGCTCCCAAGTCTCAGGAAGAAGGAAAAGCAAGAGGAATTTGGCCCCTGGGGGCCCGGCTCTGGCCCCTGGCCCCAGGGCGTGAGCAGCGAGCTTCAGGGGGTGCGCGCCCCACACCCCAGGCCCCTGGCTCTGTCTCCTGGGCAGAGGGGGTGGGCAGGCAGGGAGGCCGGGCAGGCGGGCGCCGGGGGCTGCAGGCTCTCACCCCTGCCCCCGTGAGGGGTCGGGGGTCAGGGGGGAGCCACAGCCTGGAGACTAACCTCTCGGATATCAAAAGGGGCCCTGGGACCTTCCTCACGAGGTCACCAGCGGACTCGTCCTTTACAGTATAACAATGCGTGTGTTTCCTTCATAAACTTTAAATACAAGCAGAATAAAAATCACATTTTTCTCAGGCAACAGTAGCAGTTCCGTAGGTAAGTGGCTTGATCACATTTGTGGTATTAGTAACGCATGCAAGCAGCTGGAATTCGGGCCGCGGGGCCGGCGGCTCCTCTACAAGGTCCCCGCGTAGGCCGCCTCCGGTCTCCGGGCCGCTGCGGGCGTCTGCGGCCGGCTGGAGCTGGCGCCCCCCTGCTCGAAGGGCTGCGGGGGGCTCTGGGCGGCCGCGGGCGGTGGCTCGGGCGCGGCCACCTCCTGGATGACGGAGCCTGCCCCGTCCGCCTCCTCGCCAGCCTCGAACGTGGGGTTGGCGGTGGCGCTCAGGTCGACATTCACGGCGTCAGTCCTCAGAGCCACGATGGTGGCGGCGTCACCCCGCCGCTCCGCGTAGATGCGCTGCTCGAACACCTGCGCCGCGGCGGGCGGGAAGTCGGGGTCGAGGGCTGCACTGGCGGCCGAGGAGCCCATGACCGAGCGGTACATCTCCACGCCCTCGGGCAGCATGGACTTGATTTTGGGCAGCCAGCGCTTGCGGACGCGGCGGGCGTTGGTGCACATGTCTGCAGCGATCACATTCATCTCGCTCTCCTTGAAGCTGGGGGCGAAGTTCTGGCAGTACACTGTAAGCACAGGGTGCGGGGTCACGGGTGTGGGTGACCCCTGCCTCCCGAGGGGCCCCAACAAGCCTCAGGGTCAGAGCACTTATGTGCTGAACTGGCCACTCCTGGGCCAGTGGGGGCAGGGCTGGGGGCCTCCCAGGCCTCTCCTGGCCTCAGCCTGAGGACAGGCGGTCATCCTTCTCACTGCTCAGTCCCGGAGGGCCTCCCCTGCTCCCTCGGGACAGTCAGCACCTGGGCACAAGGCTGTGGTCCCCCCCGAGCACTGGCTGGCTGTGTGGCCTTGGTCAGGTCCCTGGCATCTCTGGGCCTCACTATACCACTCTGTCCCACACACCCTGGGTCCCAGGCCTGCTCAGACAAGGCTGATCGCTAACCCTGCCCTGGCCGGAAGGGGGGTTGGGAGGGGGAGCCGGCAGCCCTGGGCACCTGCCTGCCCTGAGACTCAGGCCTCCCAGGGGACTAATCAGAGGCTCTTCCTCACAGGCGAGACAAGGAGCGAGATGGAACCAGTCAGCACCTTCCCTGGGCCCAGCCCCCAGCCAGGAGAACGTGAGTGGCTGCATCAGCAACATCACCGTTAATGACAGTGCAGAGCCTCTCCTCAGTCCCACGTGGAGCCACGGGCCCTCCCACTGTGCATGCCACCGGGCGGCCAGACACAGGTCCCCAGGGCGAGCCCCTCACACCAGCCCCGGCGCACCCCCCCACCCTGGCCTGGCCCCTTCCCGGAGCCGCACTGGCACTGCTCTGCTCCCTCTGGGACTCTCATTATCCACCACAAAGGCCCCTCTTTGCTCTAAAACAGAATTAGCCTCACAAGAGATGTTTTCCAAGCAAGGAAGTAAGACAGTGTCTCGTGAGCCTATGGCTGCAGGAGGCCCGGCCTGGCCCGATGGGGTGGGGGGCCGGGGAGGCTCCTGCCCGGGCCCGGGGCTCGGGCTGGGGGGCAGCAGTCGGGTGCGGAGATGGCCGGGCTCCGCCCCCACACGCCCGGGAGCGGGAGGCAGGAGCCAGCGAGCAGATGGCAAAGGCTCAAAATAACCTCGAAATGTAAATAAGGGGTTTTGTTCAAAAAGGAAAATTAGATCTATTTCACATATTAAAATAGTTTCGCACGCAGCTGAATCCATCAGGCTTGGAAACCTACCAAGAACGTTAGCACCTCAAGACCTGGCTCCCGAGAGCTGCTCTTTTCTCTTCTCTCCCCAGCCCTGCGGGGCCGGTGTGGCGCTGCGAGGGGCTGCCTGCCCGGCCAAGGCCCGGGGAGCCCCAGCCACTCCTGCCCCCCCGACCTGGAGACCCGGTCCACTTACGCTTCACAGCATTCAGGACCCGGCTGTCCAGCGGCTTGCGGCTCGGGTCGCTGGTGGATGAGCGGATGCCAGTGCCACAGCTGTTGGCCAGCGTGTTCCTGGGGGGTAGGGGGGAGCTCAGAAGCGCCATGGGGCTTTCCCACCCAGAAGTCTACCTACCCTCCCCCCCGGGGGGCTGCTACTGACTTCCAGGGGTGCAGTGATGGGGAAGAGCCCCCACTGCTCTCTGGAGAAGGGGTTCCCTGACCCACCCATGCACTGAGGCATGTATGGCTCTTCATTTTACGGGGGGAGGGGGTGTCCACAGCCCTCCACAGACCCAGGCCCCCCTCCCGCAGCCTCCACAGTTCCTGGGCTGACACCCAGGTGTGAAGTCAGGAAGGTGGGGGCCACATATACGAGAGGCATCAGCCATGAGAGACCCTCGAGGCTTCTGCCCTTACCCGGGGACCCACCTGTCAAAGAAGGTGGCGAGGAGCCGTCGCAGCAAGACCTTGTGCTTCACCCCTGCACAGAGGTGGCAGTTCATCAGCTGACCACGTGTGATGTAGACTCCGGAGCCTGTGACCGCCAGACACAGAAGAGTGAGGCCCTTGACCTCACCACCCACAGCCCAAGGCCAGGACCTCCTCAGGTGGCCACCAGGGCCAGAGCAGGTGCGCAGGGGGTGTGGGGAGGGGCGCAAGGCTGCTTGGCTTCTGGGTGCAGCACCCCAGGGCACGCGCTGTCACCTGGAGGAGGCAGCCTTGGTCACATGTCCCTAGATCACCCTCCCAGCCTCAGGGGACTTCCCTGCTCAGCCCTCGGTTTGGAAAATACTCCTTGCTTCTCCATCCCTTCCCCCAAACCAAAGCACCTCAGGCAATACTGGGGACTCGGGTTCCCGTACGCGTGGGGGGAGGTCACCGCCAGCACAGGCAGGGGTGTGGGCAGCAAACCCACACAGTGCTATTTACCCCGAGGAAACCTGGCAAGGCCCGGGGGCCCAGGAGGGCATGGGCTGAGCCAGCAGAGGACACATCAGCAGAGGGGGGCCGGGGAGGGTGGGGGTGGCTCCGTGTAATGGGACGCTGCTTGTGGAGAAAGGAGAGCGTGCAAGCCCTGGACGGTGCCCCTGACCCCCCCGAGAGGACAGTGTGGCAAACCCCGAGGGGCCTACGCGGACTCCAGGCCTCCCGCCATCTCATTCAGGCCTCTCCCCGTGCCCCCTGTTGTCACAGATCACATGCTGAATCTTGTTGTGAAAAAGACGGGGGCGGGGGGGGGCGTGCAGCAGCTCCTTTCTCAGGGAGCAAGGTGGAAGCAAGATACAGGAGGTGCTCTGGCGTGTGGATTCCCAGCTGGGTGGCCTCAGGACTGACTCTGGTCCCTATATAAAGTCTGCTTCCCTCCACGAGCCAGGTCTCCAAGGGAGCCTGCACCCACTGTTTAAACAGACATGTGGCTGATTCTGGATGGAGTCTACCACCAGGGGCGTCGGGTCAGCGCGCCTGATAGTCCTCGGCCACTGCATGCCACGCGTCCCCAAGGGCCTCGCGTTCACCTCTGCTCAGGTCTGCAGAGGCTTAAACCCAACAGCAGAGCAGGTCACCCTGAGCCACATGGGCTAAACACCCCCTCATTGTGGGGAAATCTGTAAAGGGGGGCTGGGGCCCAGTGGGGCCTGGGAACCTGATATCCAGCTGCAGGCTGGGCCAGGGAAGGTGGCCAGCCCCTGCCTCCCCAACTCCCAATCCCGACAGATTGGCTGTTATAGTCGAGAGGCAAAGCCACCCATCTGCCCTGTTCTGAGGCCGCCGGCTGGGACAGTGGCTCCCAGCAGAGGAGACAGCTCATGCAGAGCCCTAGGGTGCTGCCCAGGGCGTGGTGGTCAGGAGCGCTCAACAGGACGTGGGGGGGACCCGGAGGCTCACAGAGGGTCCCCACCAGCCCTGGGGGCCAGAAGGGAGCGAAGGAGCCCATGGGTCCTGACCAGCCTGTTAGGGGCTCCCCGGGCAACGAGGAAATGCCTGGAAAATGGCTCCACCTCCCCAGTTACTGGGACGCCAGCACCTTTCATCTTCCCAGTGAAAAGCCTTAAAAACCCGCGCGGGGCTGTGAAGCCAGATGAATCCTCACGCTGAAAAGATAAATATTTCTGACAAAGGCACCTGGCCCTAATGGGCTTTTGGACTCTGCATTGTCATTTGCTTTTACAGAATTCCATTTCTGCCTCGGAGCCGCTCTGAAGCCTCCGGTCGGTCCCATCGGCACTGTGATGGGGCCTGGGGCGGGGGGCTTGGGCGCTGTGTTCGATCTGGTTTTATCTGCCACCTAAATTAAAACACAGTCGTGACTGCAGCCCCTGCCAAGATGTGCGACCAGCCCAGGGGATCCAATTAAAATGTTAAATTAATTCAATTGAATAACTCCTCCTAATGACACATTCTTCTAAAAGGAAATTAGAGGAAATTTAAGATGTTCCTTCTTTCTTTCTTTTTTTTTTTTTGACTGATTAGTGACGAGTGCATTGTTCAGGGCTCTGAAGGAAAAAGAGTAAACGAGGGCATCTGCACACGACAGACGGGGCGGGGGGGCACCTCACCTGCCACCAGCTCCAGCTTCTCGCCAGGGTCCCCTTCTGAGTAGAGCTTGGGGTGGCAGCGGTACCCGATCTGGCTGATGAGGCTGGCGGGCAGGGCCACCAGGTCGCGGCGGATGAGGACACACGAGCGGCTCTCCAGGGGCACAGGCTCTGGCTTCTCTTGCACTGCGGACACAGACCCGGCCCGGTTAGGGGTGCTCTCAGGCCTGGGGATGGGGACCGCCTTTCCTGCCACCCGGGCCCAGGTCAGACCCGCTCCCTGCCCCCCACATGGTGGGCTGCATCGCCCCGTCCCCGCCCAGCTTGTCCTGAGCTCTGCAGGGAGGACCAGAGTGAAGAAGTGAACGGAGGAAGGCGGGGGGACACCCACCCAGACCTGGGATCAAAGCCGCGAGGGCCCGCGAGGCTCCCGGGAGGTGCTCGCCAGACAGAGGCCTGCAGCTTAGGCAGGACTGAGGGCTAAGGGCGGCATGTGCAAGGGGCTGGACCGGGAGCAGCCGGGCTGGCGCCGAGGTCTAACCGGGCAGAGCAGCCCTCTGCCGGGTGGAGTGCAGGCCTGGAGCGCATCGGGCCCTATGCTGTGCCCCGGCCGGATCGCTCGGAACTGCTCCCGTGCACGGTGGGGGCACGCGGGCCCTCTGCCTGATGCTGCCTGGACGAGACAGTCGCACAAACACTTGCCGGCAGTGAAGCCAGGCAGTGGCTCTGCCGGACAGGGCACACGTGGCATCTGCAGCCCTCCGGGCACTCTGGGAATGGTCCTGACAAACCGCTCCCGGCGGGCAGTCAGAGACCCGAGTACACTGGGCCTGCAGCTACGAGGGGGCAGGGGCTGAGGGCCCCTCTGATGTCCCTACGCCACACAAAAGCCTAAGAGCAGCTGGACGTCAAGGCCACTGTTATCCCCATCCCCTCCCCTCCACTCTCCACTCTGAGCCTGTCCTGGATACAGACCCTCTGGCCAGTCTCTTGAGGCCAGGAGTAGGGGCTTCCCCTAGTGCTCACGGAGGCCCCGAGTCTTCTGGGCACCAACCACACAGAGGGCCGTCTAGGTGCTGGGGGGCCAAGGAGAAGCCACAGGCGGGCACCCTGCCCTCAGGGAATGGCCAGTCAGTGCCTCATCAGGTAGCCAGGCTGGGCAGGGAGAGATGTCAGATGGAGGCTCCCGAGGTGGACAGGACCCAGCCCTGCCAGGCTCTGTGCCCCCAGGCCCCTCAAGCAGGTGCCCCCAAGTCCAGCCCCGCATCCTCCCCCACTCCCCTGCAATCCCCGGCCCCTCCCAGCAGCCGCACACGCTGCACCCTCGTCACAGGGTCGGCGAAGGGCCTCTGCACAGGGCAGGGCTCCAGGGCAAAGCCCTCTGCTGCCTACATGCCACCATCAGCCCACCCTCACCCTGTGTCCCCAGCGCACAGGTCACTCTGGGTCACCTCCCAGGAGGACCACCTGCTCCCAGTCAGCTGCTGTCACTGAGGAGTCACAGCTGGTTCGAGGCAGGAGCTGCCCTGCACACCTGGCTGGAGAGCATGGGCCAGCCCGCCCGCAGCCACCACCAGCCACAGGGCAAGGTCTGCAGGCTGGAAGGGCCTTGGGCTGCTCAGAGGGTCACTCAGGGTTGGGCCCTCATGGTCAAGGATGACAGTTCTCTGTAGCAGCCTTAGAGGCCCCTGGGAGAGAGGAGATAGCTGTAGAACCTTCTAGTAGCCAGACACCTGGAGGGCAGGGCCAGGCTGGACCAGTAGTTCTGTCCCCTCGGCACTGTGACCCACCCCCGCTCAGGGGGGCGCAGGAAAATGTAGCACCTGGCCTCACTGTGGCAGGTGCTGGGCACGGGCCTGGGAAAGCCATATTGGGGCTGCGGCAAAGGGGCTTCAGGAGGGAGGGTGGCAAGGAAGGGAGGGTCCTGGGCAGCCCCTGTGGGGGCGGGGGCGGCCTCCTGGAGGCCACAGAAGAGCCCCTTGGGAGAAGGCAGATGGCTGGGCTCCAGTGCCGAGGACGAGGATGGGGCTGGGGCTGCCTCTGCCCAGTGCCCCCCCCTTTGTCCCCCCCCCCGCCACCAGATCAGGGCTCAAGGCCGGGTGGGGGTCGCTCTGGGGGCCCGGCGGCACCTCCCACCATGTGTGTGTGGGGAACGTGGGTGGGGGCTGATGAGCGGAGGGCAGCAGAGAATCTTCCAAACCTGGAATACTGGGGGCCCAGGGAGCACAGGAAAAACAACCCGGATGGTATTTTAAAACATAATTACCCGCCCCCGCCCCCCCACACAGCCTGCTGTGATTACACACGCAGACGCAGCACCAACGCTGCCGCCGTGGCATTTACATAAAGAGCGCTCACCAGCAGAAATAACGCAGTCCACAACGCAGCCTGCCGTGTTTCTCCAAACGGCACAAGTTGTTTCCGCTCCACTCGCTGCCGCTGCCCCAGCCCCGGCCCCGGCCCCGCTATAGTCCCCAGCTCCCAGCTCCCCGCCCCACCCCCTAGCCCCACTCCCGAGAGCCAGAGACCAGCAGACCCAGAACATCCAGAGCGGCCTCGGCTATTTCTGCTCCACTCCACGAGTGCCGGGTACTGCGCTGGCTAAAAATACCTGCACCCGCGTGGTGGCTCACCTGGAAAGGTGAGCCCTAGGCCTTCCCCGCCCCTGCCCGGGGCCCCAAGTCTCCTCCTCCCAGGGAGAGGCGGCGGCTTACAGCCAGGTTCTGGAAGCCTGGGAGAGCAGGCTTGGGGGCAAGACGACAGGCCCCCCGTGTGTCCCCATGGCCTTCGGGCAGGCGTCCCCCACTGCAGGGCTGGCGGGGGGGCCCCCCGGTGGGCTCGGGCAGGGACACCGCAGCCCGCAGACGGACCTGCGGACCACACTGAGGTCACTCTGGGACTGGCCACTGCGGCAGGACCGCCACCGTCACCATTGACGGCTCCATTTTCAACCAGCAATGACTCTGGTCTCCAGGACCGTGGGCTCCAAATATTTTGGGACCATGGAATTTGGAGAGAAGCACATGAAAGTGCAGAGCAATTAGCTGTTTGTCCCAAGAGGTGAGTAATTGCTCTCGCTGTAGGAGAGGTGAGTCACGGTCAAAAAGGCCTCTACGGAATGATCTGGAACAGTAGCTGATCTGGGCCAAGGGGGCAGCAGCAACCAAGGGCAGACAGTTTCCCTCAGATCACTGGACAAAGAAAACCATCACCGTGGACCCTCCACGGACTCTGGGCACCAGGAAGGGACCCAGCTGCTCCCTGACTCAGCGACACTGCATGGATCCAGCCGATGAGGATACGGCGCTATGTGAGCGCGGAAGGACAAACCCCGTCAGATTCCACGGGCTGTGGGGCCAAGAGGAGCCGGACCCACAGGGACAGACAGCGCTCGGGGCGGGGGCGGGGGCGAGGGCGGGGGCGGTGTTTAACGGGACCAAGTTCGGTCCCAGGGACGGACACAGGGACGGCTGCAGGGCACAGTGTGAGTGTCCCTGACGACCCTGGCCTGTGCCCCTGGCAACAGCAGTCACGGAAAATCCTGTGTTCCGATATTCCAGCGCCAACAGTACAAGTCTCCTGAGGGAAAGGCCTCTGTGGGGGAGGCGAGCTGTGGTCTACGCAAGCCAGGCGGAGGGCAGCGCCGGCGACGCAGGCCTGCAAGGGCCCCGGGAGGGTCTCTGACCTCCACTCCCGCACCTTCTGACCCTGCTGTGGGTCACTGACTGGGAGCCTGGAGAAAGCACCGGACCCTCTGCCCAGACAAAACACACGGAGCCCCCAGCCCACGGGATGTTGGCGCGGGGGACAGCCCAGGCAGCCCCCATCCTCAGCAGGGAGCCCCCACCAATGTGGAGGCCGCCGGCAGGTGACTGAGCCCCTCGGAGGCTGGGCGGGGAGGTGGGGGACAGGGAAGGGGATGCCCACTCCACCTAAGTATATGCCGTTCACTGAAATGGCACAGTAAGAAAATGAACCCCTAGTCCTTGATTATATCGGAAAACACAACTTAAAACCAAAGGGAAAGAGAAAGACTGGGTCACACCGTCCAATTCTGACTCAGTATAAAGCGATTCTAATGGTACGTGGTGCAAGTGAGCGGACAGGCTGCCCACCCAGGCCGGAAACAGGCGCACAGACACACTTGGCTGAGCTGTGACAAAGGTTCGCCCCCACTCACTGCGGGGAGTGACAGCTGGTGCGGAGGAAGCGGCCAGGCACGGCCAGGTCACAGCAGTGAAGCCGCCCCGATCTGAGCCGCACACCTGACACAACACTTAACGAAGATGATCAGGGACCTCGTGTCAAACACGGAACTACAAAACTTCCAGAAGAAAACCTGAGTCAACTCGGGCTCAGATAAAAGCTTAGATATGACCCCAAAAGGAACAGCCTGATTCGCTGGACCTCACCCGAGTGACAGCCCCCTCCCATGAGGTGCTAGCACACCCGGCCTGCAGACCCCGCCCCGTGGTGACTTGCGCTGAAAACCTGCAGCAGCTCTCAACGCCCAAAGGCAAGAAAACGGACAACTTGATCTTTAAAATGGGCAAACGGTCTGAACAGACACTTGGTGAGAGACACACAGGTGGCAAATTGGCACCAAAGAGGCGCCACATCATCAGCCCCTGGAACCTGCAAATAAAACCACGTGGGGACACTGCCTCACACGCACTGCGGGGCTGACCTTGTGCCCGAGCACGGCAGGGCGGCTGCTGGGTGCTGGTCACCCCCGGTGTGCGCAGGGGACACGGGCACTCCAGAGGACGGCTGGGCGGGGGGACACGCATGGGGTGTGGGACAGCACCCCCACACCTGGGTGCTCAGCCGAGGGAAACAGGGATGAAGACCATGCGCTCGGGCCCTGAGCAAGGACACGCACACCAGCTCTGCTCACAGAGGCCCCGACAGGAGACGGCCCAGTGTTCCCACGATGGGCGGGTCACTGCGGCGCATGTGAGTCCCAGACTCGCCTGTGGGGCAGAAGGGGCCGGCCCCACACGGTTATATGCTGGGGGGCTCCCTTCACAGGACAGGTTCCCAGAGACAAATCTATGGGGACAGAGAACAGATCAGGGACCCAGGGGATGGGGTGGGGGTGGGTGATGTCAGGGGCGGCACAGGGGCTGATGGAGCACCTCTGTATCCTGGACGCCTGGGGAACCCTCCCCTTGCTGCTCGGCCCC